CGTGCGTGCGTGCGTGCGTGCGTGCGTGCGTGCGTGCGTGCGTGTGTGTGTGTGTATGTATGTGTGTACAACTCAAGCAATAACTGCAATGCTGCGTTCACTTGTATCTTGTTGACTTTTTTTGTGTACGTTCTGCATGTCTTCTGATTTTCAAAATGTGGTAACTGTAACTTTAACTAGTATTATACAGTGTTTTAATTGTTATACTTCTAGCTGGATTTAATCGAACTCAACCTTGGGGCTTTATTCATTATTGTGTGTTGAGTCAAGGCATGTTAAGTTACATATTTAGAAAAGGTAGCAATAGCAATAAGCAGTGAAGGAAAACTGATCTCTCCACCATTACTGACATGGAATACTGTGGGTGTTGCAGAAGCAGTAATACGTTACAATACAGAAACTCATTAAATTAGTAGAACCACAAAAATATCAGTGTGAAATTCAACATCTCATGCACCAATCAAAGGACTGAATGACACAGCACATGCACCAGTTTTGACAGAAAAGAGTGAAAGCGTTTAAAGTTACGAAGCAAATAATATATTTCTTAAATTGATCCTATTAGTATTCCGAAAGCTCAAAGGGGTCGACCAAAATGCTTTTCCTCGCATTCAAGTTAATCCAGCTTGAGTTGTATCTAAATCCAACTCGTTATCATGTGATAATCTTCTCCCAATTAAACTACATTTGTTCCGAGAACCAGCTCGGCTTTCCATAGTTTCCTTTCCTCTCAGTCTGTCCTCTGTCCCTCTCACTAATAGTCTGCTCTGCTCTTACAGGCGACCTTACTGACGGGCCTGGAGCTGCCAAAAAGTTCAAAGCAGTAGGAGACCCTCCCTCACAGCCATGCCACAGGCAGTTTGCCCCCACATGGACCATTTTGAGTCACATCAGATGAGATTCAGCCCTATCCGATCCCTCTCAAGGTGCCCTTTCTCTTGGATACACTTCAACATGAAACCCTGCTCCAAAATGTGGGATGAAAGAATAACATCCTGGTTTCTATTGGCTATATAACTACAGAGAGAACTGGAGTTACCGTGGATTGCCATACTTTTTTCACATCGCAGATTTAACTCCTCGAACTCCGGGATGCTACCATCTTTTATTTTATTTTTCCAGCTTTTCAACAAAAAGGAAATCACAGCCTTTTCCTCAAGACCTGAGACTAAACCAATCCGCCCTCGCATTGAATGAAATGGAGTTTCCCGCGTTGCGCAGTGAAACAATGTTTTGCTTTTAAATGTCTCTATTTATCTTTCAAACATACCATCAGGAGAAACCACCACCATCCGTTTCTAAAGTGCTTTTAGGAAGAGCAGGAGAAAAGGAATCCTCGGTGCTTACTGTTGCTCCGCCTCTCTCTCAGGCGTCTTTACAGCTCTCAAGGTAAAACTAGATGAAGAGAGTGTTTTGTGGTATTGGCACCGCAGGATGTTTTTCACTCATCCATCCATCCATCCATCTTCTCCCGCTTATCCGTGGTCGGGTCGCGGAGGTAGCAGTTCCAGCAGAGAGCCCCAAACTTTCTTTTCCCTGGCCACATCAACCAGCTCTGACTGGGGGATCCCAAGGCGCTCCCAGGCCAGCGAAGAGATATAATCCCTCCACCTGGTCCTAGGTCTACCCCTTGGTCTCTTCCCAGCTGGACGTGCCTGGAACACCTCCCTAGGGAGGCGCCCAGGTGGCATCCTAACTAGGTGCCCGAACCACCTCAACTGGCTCCTTTCGACACGAAGGAGGAGCGATTCAACTCCGAGTCCCTCCCGGATGACCGAACTTCTCCCCTTATCCCTAAGGGAGACACCAGCCACCCTGCGGAGAAAACCCATCTCGGCCGCTTGTACCCGCGATCTCGTTCTTTCACTCATGGAATATTTAAAAGCTTCTCTTTCGTCCCACTTGTGGCTCCGCTGCCTGTTCTGGTTTTCCCCCTTCTTTATCGTATTCAAAGGTTGTTTGGTGTCGTTTGTCAGAAAGGTTTACACACCGAGGTTAAGCGCTGGGAAGGATTGGGCTCGACTCCATTTCATTTTTCAGAGACAGATCTGCAGGGCATGGGAAACCCTGCAGGGGAAACAGCTCTTATTTAGCAACTTTAAAGATATTACATTTGTTTTTGTGCTTTTTTTTGTCAGTCGTGATGATTTGTTGTGCAATTTGAAGGTGGCTTGTCATCTTTTTTTTTTAAGAATGGAGGAATTTTAAAGGGGCTATTTTATACTTTTTTTTTTTTTAACGGTATATAGGTTTTAGTGCATGTAAATGGTCTGCAAAGGCTAAAATCCCTAAGTTACCCACTTTTGTTGTATAAAATTGGCATCAGTGTCACCAAACCACGTTACGAACACTTCGGATGAGGAGTCGCACTCTTCACGTCGTCGTCGAAGTGGACTACGACTGAAAAACTCGTGCTGTGTAGGAGTCCTACGCACGTTTCGGTAGATGTCCCTGACCTCTACCCTCCCTTTAATGGTACTCTGTTGGCGTGAGATGGAGTAGGTGGAAAACGGTTAATATCATCGGACCAACCCAGAATACTTTGTTTTGTTTTTTCTCTCCTCTCTGAGCCGGAGTCACATAAAACAACCGTTAGGTAAGGGAGCCTCGCACCTTTGCGAAAGCGAGCTTCGTGCTCGCACTTAGGTCTCGGACCCCTCTCGACGTCCCGCCTTTCGTAGTTCGCTTCCTTTACTTAGTAGGGAAGAGTGGAGTGAAACCGAATTAACGTTGAGCTTCTCGCGATGTGTTGAAACAGTGCATCAAAAGCGTTGGGTTTACCTTGATTGTTTTTTTTGTGCGTATAACTGTTAAACGTAGAGTTACTGTACGGCAAATCAGAAGACGGGGACAAGTCTGTAGAACCTTCTTATTGCAACATAAATTGCACTTCTAGAGTTTAGCAAATACAAGTTTAAAATTTAGGTCCGGTAATTTTGTACCCCTCAGAAGCGCTAGCTCTTGAGTAGTCAGGCGTTTGGGATATATCCTACAAATAGAAAAAAAAAAAAAGAAAAAAAAAATATCTACAATTTCCTCCGCTCTCTTT